GAGTCTGGAAGAGGAGACCAGCTGCATCAAGGACCTGTGACAGCTGCCCATCATCCCTTGGAATGGGAAGACTCCAACAGCAGCAACGGCAGCAGCGGCAAAGGTAACAGCAGGAGGAGATGCAACTGCACCAACTGATGGAGTCCTGGAAGCAGTCAAGAAAGTGCAGCAGCAGCAGACACATGGTGAGGTGCTTGCTGGTGTGGTTGCGAGTGCGGCATGGGCTAAGGCTTCATCAAGGAGTGGTGAGGCCGATTGGGAGACATGGCATGAGAGGCTGTGTCATGTGAACTTCCCTATGCTGCAGAAGTTGGTGAAGGATGGGAGCCTGAAAGGATTGGAGGTCAAGGTGAGGAGTGAAGGAGATTGGGAGCTGCCCTACATGCTTGGAGACCAAGTTCTCCAACTTCCCCTTCAACAGCACTACAGGACCAGCCAAGACCCCACTTGCACTTGTGCACATGGATGTGGTGGGGCCCACAAGAGCCCCTTCCCTCTCAGGCAGCCGCAATTTCTTGACTATTGTGGATGACCACACTCGGGCAGTGTGGGTTTACCCTTTGAAGAGCAAGGGGGAGGTGGCAGCGGCTGTCCTTAAGGAGTGGATGCCTAGAGCTCAGAGAAAATGCGGACACAAGGTGAAGGTGATCCGCAGTGATAACGGTGGGGAGTTAATTGGAGCTGATTTTGAGGGGGAGTTGAAGAGGAAGGGGATCCAACATCAACTGACTGTGCCCTACAACCCGCAGCGGAATGGCGTGGCTGAGAGGTTCAACAGGACCCTGCAGTAGGGGACACGCACTCTCCTTGGGCGTGCAGGGCTGCCTGATCCGTTTTGGGTGTCTGCACTGAGGCAGGTCGCCCTTGTGAAGAACAGGGTGCTGGCTACAGTTGGGGATAAGGAGTGGATCCCATATACTAAGTGGTATGGGAGTGCTCCAGCTGTGAACATGCTGAGGGCATTTGGGTGCATGGTGGTGTTTCATGTGCCCAAGGAGAAAAGGGGGAAGTTGGAGGCTTCTGGAAGATGGGGTGTGCACTTGGGGATTGCGAAGGATCACAAAGGGTGGTTTCTATGGAACTTGACCACCCAAAAGCTGACTGTGTCAAGGGTGTGAAGTTTCTTGAGTCCCTGTACTACAAGGAATGGAAGCAGCAGCAACAGAAGCTTCCATCTACACCGCTAATTGTGGAGGCAGATGAGATGCAACGGCCTTCAAGACAGGTGGAGGTTGCAGTGTCTGAGAAAGAGATGTCTGGAGTGACTGAGGAAGGGGGAGCAGCTGAAGTAGAGCAGCAGCAGCATGAGTCTCCAACTCGAGTTCCACACCCGCCTGAGCGACCTAGGAGGGATGTGCACCCTCCGGTGAGGCTGACCTATGGGGGAAGAGGCAAGCCGAATGTGGTGCAGGCTGGGAGTATGGTTGAGTAGATTGAGGAAGATGAGATCGCTCACTGCTACTGGGTACCAATCCCTGAGCCCAAGACTCGAGAAGAGGCCTTGAATGGACCAAATGGGGAGAAGTGGAAGGCTACTGAGGATGAGGAGTTCGGGTCCCTGATTGAGAAGGAGACATGGGACCTGTGTGACTTGCCTCCTGGGAAGAAGGCAATCACTTCCAAGATGATCTACAGGCACAAGTATGGACCTAAAGGTGAGCTGACCCGCTACAAGTCTAGGCTTGTGGCACGGGGGTTTCAGCAGACAAAGGGGAAGGACTATGATGAGGTGTTTGCTCCTGTGGGGAAAGGAACAACACTGAGGGTGCTGTTGGCGATAGCTGCACTCCTAGGATGGAAGATACGGCAGATGGACATTGTGACTGCCTTTCTGAATGGGATCATTCTGGAGGAGGTGTACATGAAGCAGCCAGAGGGGCTGGATGATGGGAGCGGCAGGGTCTGCAAGCTGAAGAAGGCCATCTATGGCCTTAATCAGGCGCCTCGTGCATGGTATCATAAGTTGGAGGAGGCGCTGTTGGTTGGGGGTTTCAAGAAGAATGAGTGTGACCCCAGCCTGTTCCTGCTGCAGGAGAAGGATGAAATCCTCATGCTCTTGGTGTATGTGGATGATATCCTTCTCATTTCTGCATCAATTGCTTTGCTGGACAGCGCAGAGCAGATGCTGGAGATGCAGTTCAAGTGTTCCAAGATGGGTGAGGTGAAGTACTACCTGGGGATGCATGTGGAGAGAGATGTGGAAAAGGGTGTGCTGAGGTTACACCAGAGGAAGTACTGTGAAGGGCTGGCTGAGAAGTATGGGCTGCAAAATGGGGGAAAGCCAGCAACACCACTACCTTCGGGGTTTGCTGTGGAGCTATGTGGTGATGAGGAGGTAGTGGGTGAGAGTGACAGGAAGCTGTTTCATTCGATGGTTGGGTCGCTAAACTATGCTGCTAATCATACACGGCCTGACATTGCATTTGCTACATCATGGCTGGCTAGCGTGGTTTCACGCCCTAGTCATGAGCAGCTGGAAGCGGCAAAGAGGTTGGTCCGCTATGTGAGTGCTATGGCATCAGTGGGATTGGAGTACAGTGGAGTGAGGCAGCGGTTGCAGAGAGGTGCTGCAGATGTGAAGAGTGGAGAGATGCTCTTCAGTTGCTATACGGACACTAGCTTCAACTCTGTGAAAGTGGATGGCACCAGCATTGGGGGTTATGTGTGCTTGCTAGGAGGTGGTGCTGTGAGCTGGCGCAGCAAGAAGCAGAATGAGGTGGGATTGTCCTCATGTGAGACTGAGTACATGGCCTTACACCATGGGGCCAATGAAGTGGTGTGGCTGAGGCGCTTGTTGGAGGAGTTGGGAGTTGGTCAAGAGGAGCCGACAGTTGTGTTCTTTGACAATGAGTCTGTAGTGAAGCTTGCCAAGAATGCTTGCCTGCATGGGCTGACAAAACACATAAGGCCTAAGTGGCATTGGGTGAGGAGACTCCTTGATAAGGAGGTGCGGCTGGAGATAGTGAAGACCCATCAACAGGCAGCAGATATTTTCACTAATCGTCTGGCAAAGGCGGATCATTAGAAGGGCATGAAGCTTGCTGGGATGAGTGTGCATTGAGTATGTATGCTTGAGATGTTGGTATGGTGGATAATGGTTGGCAGCCAGAGGGGGAGATTGTTGTGTGATGTCATCACATTCTGTCTGCCTCCCATCCCATGTTTTCAACTTGCATGTGTGGTTTGACCGTGTGCAAGAATTTGTGTGTGGTGTGTTCTGGAGTTTGGGAATGTGTTTTGTGTTATTTTTTCTGAGCATGTATTTTGTGATAGATCTTGAGAAGATCTTTCCGACGCAACGAGAATCTCTTCAATCGGAGCAAGAACGCGAAAGCTATGAAGATTCAAAGTTCATGAGCTTGCGTTTCAATTGCGGCGGTTACAAAGTGAAGTTGTGGGGTGACTCTATATGGAGTTGGGACCTTTGGGGTTGGGGACATTTGTCACTCTACTGTAACAGCTGCAAATTGGTTGGGAACAACCAAGCTAGGTTGGCAAGGGTGACCAACTTGGATGGATTGGTTGGGAAGGGACAAATGTCAAAGTTGGGGTTCCTATAGGGGGGGAATCTTTGTGCTTATGGGGTTTCCTTGGTTGGGGAATCTCTTAGGACATTCCCTCTCATCTCTCTCTTCTATCCCAACCTTTCTCTTGCTCCTCTATTTCGTTGTGAGATTCTTGAAGTTTGATTGAACTTCTGAGATAAAGTTAAGTTCTCCTCCTACAGCTTACTCCCTAGTGCGTCGAAAGACATAGCGTCGCCAGTACTCCATTAATCGACGTGATTTAAATTGAGAACGGTAGCTAAGATTACAAGCTACAACATATCCGATTTTCGCGACATTCCAACAGCTAGGTTTTGGTCGACGTTGTTTCTTGTGAAGACGACTTTTCTGTCCAGAATTTCGGATGTATATTCTGAGTAATTCTAGCTCCTAAGTTCACCTAGACTCCGTCCTTAATCCTAACTCGAACTTCGGATGATGTTCATGGTGTGTCTGTCATGTACATTGGTGTTATGGATGCGCACTGCCGCCTTTGTTGTTTCCATCGTATACTTGAGGCTATTTGTCGTCCCAGATGTTGGTCGCCTGTCGCAGGCACCGTTTCGGGCGTCGAATTGTTTTTTCCGCTTCACAAATTGCCCCGAAAGTGTCGCGCATAACAACCCATTTTGTTTCCAAGTTTTCAAGAGTGCCCATCTTCAAGGGCGGCGTTCTTGAAGCCCCCCCTATGCTATTTTAGCCTGTGGTTTAGGGTGCGAAATGATTTTTGTGCTTTCGCAATGCAATTTGTGAATTCGCTGATGTGGCGGAATTCACCCTATAGTTCGCCGCTTTCTCTTGGTTTGTTTCTGTGCTTTCTTGCGCGTGCGAGATGCGTCCGCACAGAGGTGCCAACCTGAGCAATTCCATCGCCGTGGCGATGTGCTATTGGTGGCAACGAATTTCCTTTTGGTAGCATGTACTTAAAAAAAAAAAAAAGAGTGTCGACTAAATCGTCTTAGGGTTGCGGAGCTATCTTTGCCAGTTTGACAAATTGAATACTGTTATTTTGCATTTTACATCGAGATTATGACTATTATCATTTGATGTGATATTATTTTACAATTCTGCATCAAGTCTTATTATATTTTGCTAATATACATCCTTGTTTCTCATAACTGTGCATCTGATGTTTTAATAGCGCAACACTTTTTTTCTTCCAGATTTGACAGAGCCAGCTTGGAACTCGAGGGATGCAAAATCAAAATCCAAGTGAATCGAACCCGGGACTTCCGAACAAGTAATCTGTGCTACCCAAAGACGCAAATTGAGTATCTTTGTATTTATATTTTGTTTGTTTTTGCGACGAATCAGAATGTTCCCTAGGGTTTCTTCTTTTTCTCACCTCCTCCCCACCCTCGCTTCTCACGTTGAGGTTTCAGTCACGCCACCTCGCCACAAGTTTCCTACCCAAGGTAAGTCGTTCTATGTGTTCCCTTATCTATTTTTAAATTTGTTTTTCCGTCTCTTTTAGTAAGGGGTTTCAATCTCGTCTTTGACGGGGGAAATAGCAACAGGATTGACAGGGGGAATGGCAACGGAATTGACGGGGGGGGTGGCGACGGGATTGATGGGGGGGATGGCGACGTGATTGACGGGTGGAATGGCGACGGGATTGACGGGGGAATGGCGACGGGATTGGCGACGGAATTGACGGGGGATTGGCGACGGCGGCATTAACAGCGGGGGACGACGGGATTGATGAGGGGGATGGCGGGGACTCTCTCTCGCTCTTTCACTACCTCTTTTTCCACCTCTTTCTCTCTCTCTCTCTCTCTCTCTCTCTCTCTCTCTCTCTCTCTCTCTCTCTCTCTCTCTCTCTCTTTCTCTCTCTCTCTTTCTCTCTCTCTCTCTCTCTCTCTCTCTCTCTCTCTCTCTCTCTCTCTCTCCCTCTCTCTCTCTCTCTTTCTCTCTCTCTCTCTCTCTCTCTCTCTCTCTCTCTCTCTCTCTCTCTCTCTCTCTCTCTCTCTCTCTCTCTCTCCCTCTCTCTCTCTCTCTTTCTCTCTCTCTCTCTCCTCTCTCTCTCTCTCTCTCTCTCTCTCTCTCTCTCTCTCTCTCTCTCTCTCTCTCTCTCTCTCTCTCTCTCTCTCTACCTCTCTTTCTCCTCTCTATACCTCTCTTTGTACCCCTTTCTTGATCTCCCTCTCTCTCTCTCTCTCTCTCTCTCTCTCTCTCTCTCTCTCTCTCTCTCTCTCTCTCTCTCTCTCTCTCTCTCTCTACCTCTCTTGTTCATTTTTTACCTCGATCTCATGTGTCGTTCACTTCTTCAATCCCCATTTCCATTTCCGGAGTTCCACCATGCATTATCTTCTCAACTAAACTTGTGTTGTTTTCATGTTCTCCTTTTTTTTTGCCATTTGTATTGGTGATTCAGGAATGCCGCTAGAATGGATCTCTGGTTTCCAACAGTGCTATTCTTCTACAGTAGACTGTCACATCACATAACACGTTTCAATTGCTTTCTACTTGTTGCTTTTCTTTCTCGTGATGCATCTTGAAGTCCAACTATTGTGTCGCTGCTATTTGCTTTCCGTTGCCGCCCTTCTCCATTCTGCTGCTGCTTGCTTGATACACGGGTAGTTCATTTTGTGTATGCAATAAGAAGGATTGTACTGATCGTCTCGAGTAAGGTTCGTTGACTTTCCACCTTGAGTGCAGTCACTTGAACTGGAGATGATAAGTGCAATTTATTTTCTTGTAATCGCAAAATGCATTGCCTAAAAATATGTGTGATTTGACCATTAGGCTTTTCAACTTCCCCCTCTTAGCTGGGGAAGCGATCGCCTATTTTTGTCGCCGACAAAAATACCCCACGCAAAATGATGGAAAGCTTTTGCATTTTTGCTTTTGTTTTCCATCATTTTGTTTTATTTTCCAATACCATAGTGTAATGACTACATTCCCTATTACACGTTTAAATTACTCACTTCCACATATTGGAAAATTATGAAAAACATGAACTCTTTTCCATCATTATTTATTCAAATAGTATGCCGTACTGGTGATATGACACATGTTTCAAAAAAATTCCAGGCGAAGCTAATGAAGCTATGTAGTTTAGGTGAGCTATCCACAGTATATTGCCAATATTCCCCATCATTTTGCTTCAAATAATATCAAAAATTTTACTAAAACTTGAAAAAAAAAATCTCGTCCGATCGATCGCAATAGGTTGCTCCGCAACCCCAAAAAAAAAAGCACGTGCTGCATGGTCTGACATGAGGCAGCCAATACAAGGAACCTCGAATCTAACGCGAGGTTAGTCTGACCTGAGGCTGTAGGAATTTGCCCTAACAAGCTTCAGTTCGTTCCATGCTGATATGAATGCGAGGGAAATTCAAGAATTCCTCTCATGAGGCCTCTCGTGGTGTAATTTCTCAGAGCAACCGAATAACTAGAATGAAGGCATATATGGTTGGGTGTTGTACTCTCTAAGAGTATGAACCCTTCTAGCCTATAACTGCTACATATAAAAATTGGAATAGGTGTAACTTGACACACCCCCTAGGCTAGACAAGGGGCAGTGCCTAGAGAGAGACCCGCAGCTCAGGGCGGCACTACTAGTCCAACCTCTGAGATAAGGGTCGAAAGACCAATCAGCAAGAGTACAAGCTAAACAAAAGTTACCCAGGGCATCAGTACTAGTCCAGCCACTAGAATAAGAGCCATAAGGCCAGTCAAGATAACATAAAGAGTAGTACACAATCAGGGTCCTAGCAAGTGAGGAGCTGCTGGAACTAGACCAAGCTGTACACCGTGCCGCTGTTGATCTTTAGGCGTGAGTGCCTTAGTCAAGATATCAGCTGTGTTGGCATCGGAGACCATTGTACTACGCAGGCCTGGCGGCGCTGCTGTAGCTCGTGCAGGAGGAAGTACCGCAACTGAATGTGCTTTGCTCTGCCCTCTAGTCGCGGCTCTTGACACAGGAGGATCATGGCCTTGTTGTCAGCGTACAGGATCGGGGAAGACCTAGGCCACTCACCTAAGTCAGTGAGAAAGAACGTCAGTCAGCGGAGCTCACCTTGTGCTGCCATGGCACCAACGTAGATCTCACCCTCATAGCTGGATAGGGCAACAGACGACAAGCGGGTGGACCTCCACGAGATGGTAGCCCTGGGAGGACCTAAGCGAGTCAGCGTCGTCTGCCCATGAAGCGTATGTGTGCCTAGTAAGGACCACTTGCATGCGTCCTCCCACCACCCGATGTACTTGCTAGATACTGCAAAACCCTCTTGGTGGCCGATCAGTGCTGACGTCGTTGCATATTTGATGCCACAAAGCGAGCCAGGATACTAAGAGGGCATGCAAGATCTGGACGAGTGCAAGTGATCAGGTACATGAGGCAGCCAACAAGCTCTGCGTACAGACCATTGGGCTCAACCGACTCGTCAGGGACTGGAGTCTAGAGCCTGTGGTCTATTGGCAGAGGCGTAGGCCGTGTGGAGGAGAACTGAAGGCCGAACCTCTGAAGGACCTGGCGCACCAAGGGTGACTGTGTGAGAGTGATGGTGCGCACTGCTCTGCAGGCCAATGCAGCGGCGCAGCTCTCGTAGGTCAGTGCAAGTGTGTCTTCTCAATAGCTCCGCTTTCACTGAGGCCACTGCGTCTCTGTCTGCAGTAGCGAAGACCACGTCGTCTACGTAGACTAGGATGTAGAACGGAGTCAAGCCTGAGCGAACGAAGAGTGAAAGGTCAGCGGAGGATGGAAAGAACTGCAGGTCTACTAACGTAGCACGCAACGTGTCATGCCACTAGCAGGGCACCTGACGTAGGCCGTAAACCGAGCGCCGGAGGAGCCCCTCGGTCTCAGGAGGGAAAGAGCCAGAGAAGCCTAGCGGTTGGCATAGGTAGACCTGCTCGTGCAGACTACCCTGGAGAAATGATATGGAGAAGTCGAGAGAGTGCAACTCGTTGTCGCGCTGTGTTGCTACGTGAAGCAGTGCGCGAAGAGTGGTCATCTTCGAGGTCGGGGTGAAGATCTGAAAGAACTCAATACCCTCGTGCTGACTGAAGCCTCTAGCAACGTAGCATGCCTTGAACACCGCCGACCCTCGACGAAGGGCGTGCACGGAGGCGCCGTCGAGGGAGGGAGGGCAGGAAGCGACGTAGGGAGACCTAAGACAAGACCGTGCTATGACATGTGATGCAGACGCGGGAGAGCGGAGTGACCTAGGTGGTGGTGCCACAACATGGACGTGTGAGTGAGCGACCGACACGAGCAAGCCGCAACGACCTGAGTAGGTGTGGCCACTTGGGGGGACGCTCCCATCGGCGGGGACGTGGTGTTGAGCGTGAACAAACCACACACCAAGTCCATAGGGAACATGGTGAGGGGGGCACCAATGGCGGCCTCAGTACAGACTGCGTACCACTCTGTCCAAGGAACATAGTGGTGATAGCGAGGTCCTGAAGACAGCCGACACCAACTAGGTTCCTGGAGAACGAGGGGATGTACAAGTCTGTGAGGGAGCCCGAGTGAACCGACGGATACGGAAGGGTGGTGGAGCTAGGTGCAACTACCGGACCTGAGGAGGGGTCAGCAAGTGCTATAGCAGCAGGGGCGGCAAGCGGCACGAGCGTAATGTGGTCGCGAAAGGAACATGCACACGCACCAGAGACGAGCGTGAAGGAGAGCGCGGCGATAGCGGCAGGCGGCTGGGGCGTTAGCGTGGAGGCTAGGCTAAACAAGGCAGGGGATCCTATGCTTAACACAGCATGGGAGCCTAGACGATACATAGTGGACACACCTATGCCACCTGACGCTGAGCGGCGCGTGCCGCCACCGCGACCACCTCCAACAAAAACGTCCGGCCACTACGGCGGCGGAGGTCTCCACGGCTGCTGCTGCTGCTGCCGCTGCTGCGGCTGCTGCTCCTAATGCTGTGTCGGAGCATCAGCCCTGGTCCCCTCATCTGCACCACCGGCACCCGCGCCACCTCCGCCACTGCCGCCACCCCTCCCTCTTCCATGCCCCTCCATTGGGGCGGCGCCCCCTATCCGGACAAGGTTGCGCTGAGGCCGCCGCGACGGCCTCAGCAGATGGGGCTGTCTCAGCGACAGTGGCAGAAACGTGAGAGTAAGTGCACTGGGAGGGGGCACAGCCTTGCAAGATAAGGACCGCCACAGTACCGCTAGACTGAGCGATAGCACGCTGGCGGATCTCTATTATGGACAGGGTGGCGAGGAACTCGGTAAGGGTGAGGTCAGCAGGGTGGAGACCAAGGAAGTGGTCGCGGGCAGTGGCTTGGCGGTCGGGAAGGCGTGTTGCAAGAAAGTACAGGGTAGCGCCGAGGGGTGAATACAGTACAGTAAGCTGGGCCTCAGTGCTAACAGCGTGGTAGCTAGCCTCAAGTGCACGCAGGTGAGTGGCAAGATCAGAGACAGTGGGGAAGGACGCAAGATCAGGAAAGAGCAGGGGGAGAAGTAGACAGTCAGCAGAGGCTGAGAAAGGAGTGTAATAGTGCACAATGACAGCATCTAAGTAGTCTTGCGCAGTCTCTACCGTCTGAAAGCAGAGACGCTCGAACAGATGGAGGGCTCGACCGATAGCAAGCTGAGCAACTGCGTCGTGCGACTCCCGGACAGAGCGGGCGAGCTCAGCATCTGCAAAGGCCTCACGCTCTGCGGGCGTGGGGGCATCAGGGAGGGCAGCAGGCGGATCGGGGCAGGGGAGCTTACCGTCAACGTGGACGGCCAGGGACTGGCTGTCATGGTGCTAACCCTTCAGCTGGTGGCGGAGGTCAGCGAGCCACGCCTTGAAGTCGACTGCACGACCCTTCGCGTCCGGGCGGAGAAGAGCGTCCGCCATCACCCTGGCCGTTGCGGCTGACGGCGACATGGCGGCACGATGGCACAGCAGCGCTGTGGTACGCCGGCACGGCGACACGGCGGCACGGGGACACGACGGCCCAGCGGTAGGGTGGCACGGTGGCACGGTAGCATGGCGGCACAGCAAGCTGTGGCGGCAAGAACAGCGGCCGACGGCGTCACGAACTTGGGCCGGCGAGCTGGGGCGAGCAAGCTAGGGGCCGGCGAGCTAGGGGTTGGCGAATGAGGGGCCGGCGAGCTAGGGGCCGGCGAGCGAGGAGTCGAGGAGCAAGGGGCCGGCTAGCGAGGGGACGGCGAGCGCGAAGCCGGTGAGCGCGAGGCCGGCGAGTGAGGGGTCGGCTAGCGTGGGACCGGCCAGCACAGAGCGAGGGGTCAGCGAGCGCAGGGCCGACGAGCGCAGGGCCGACGAGCTCGGGCCGGCGAGCTCGGGGCCTGTGAGCGCGGGGCCAGTGAGCTCGGGGGCTGGCGAGCGAGGGGCCGGCGAATGCGGGGCTAGCGAGTGAGGGGGCGGCAAGCATGGGGCCAGCGAGCGCGGGGCCAACGATCTACAACGGCTAGGGCGGGCAAGGGTGGCTAGGGCGGGCTAGGGCGGCTAGGGCGAGCTAGGGCGGCTAGGGCGGAAGCACGGATGGGCGGACCTAACCTAGCTGATACCATATCAGAGTAATCGAATGACTACAATGAAGGCATACAAGGGAATATATGGTTGGGTGTTGTACATAATTCTATTACCGTAAGCATCCGCATTTTTGAGCCTAGGGTGTAATCTCATATACTAGTGGATTTTGGGGGTGAGTCTTATATGGATACCTAAAAAATATGTACCCAGATTATATCTCGTACGCACGTGGAATACAAATTTCTGCATATAGTTTTGTTCCTCGTTTACATTCCTGACTCATTGTCGAGTATTCAGGCCCATTCTAAGCCTTTTCAGTATAAAATGTAAAATGCGAATCTGATTGGTTTGACCTTTGTGCTTCCCAATCGAAATGGCCATTTCATATCGCGAGAAAATCCTAGAGAAACCAAATCGAAAGTGATAGTTTATCGACGGTCAAGATTTTGTCTTCAACCCTTACACGGCAGCATAACAAGTTCACGACTGTAAGAACGCACT